ATCATTTGCTAATAGTAACAATATAATAACGATGATGATGATAAAAATAATAACTGATAAATTGTTTTTCCCTTGATTTGCATTATGAAATTGACTAGAGCGTTTATTTCGATGTGAAATGCATGGATATTAGTTCTGAAGAAAAGACAACTAATTATGCTCTTTTAGTTGATAATAATAGTGACAGCATGTATACTTAATTATAACGTGAAAGATAATTATGATAGTTGCTTTCCCTGTTCTAAGCAGTTCAATAGCTTTCTTTTTTGTTATAATTGAAGACAATTGATTAATATTTTTTTGATATTACAACTGATGGATTACTCAATGACGTAGCTTTCGAATTCAGTACTGATTTTACAATCCTCGCCCTTCTAAACCGTAACAAAGGTACTTAATTCTAAACAGCAATATACGTTGGCAGCCTCCCCTTACGTACGATTTATCCAATAATTTTATTTTTCATAGTTTATGAAAAAAGAAATTGCTTTTTTACTGTTTGCAGACAATGGGTCGGTTCATTACCATTACCACTATTATAAATCCAAGGCGGCTGACCACCTACATGGTAATGATATACTTTTATTTTATGTATTTAGCACCCATGACAAAGCCTTATTCTTCCTAAATTTTACTATTTTCTCCTAGGCCATAATGCACCTAATTTACTTCCCCAAATTTTTGCACAACTCGGCGTTGTCTTCGATTTTCCTTGGTACGCCAGTAATACCCAGGAGAAATTGGAAACAATGGTTATGCAAAATTTGATGGGTTTGTACTATCGACCGAGTGAACAAGAAAACAACGCCATGCTTGTTTGTGTCGAATAACTCGGTACTTTTACTGACGGATCACGTGACGTGATGAACTCGTGATTAACAACATTACAGGGTTAACAAGGTGCATTATGGTCAATGTGAAAATGTTGAGTTGATACAGGAAGGAAGATCAAATAATGATCTTGCCCCAGTTGTTCAAACGTTAGAAAGCGCTATCAACCGAATAAATCACTATCCAGCGGATATCTATTAGGGATACCAATTGCGTTATCTCGTACTGGACAGAAATTTATCCACTGGATAACGGTATCCACCTTTTGAACATCCGGGGCCAGGAATCATTGTCACACTTCAGATGATTCTTCAAATTTATTTGTTTTTACGTATAAGTCATCACTAATCAGACATAACATCTGTGAAGGATTGGTTCGATAACCAACCGATACTCATGAAAATGAGCCCCCACTCATCTCCCCAGAAGAGCTTCGGGGGGATCAAAGTCCAGACCCTGGAGACGGCGGAAGTGAAGGATACTAAATAATTAGAACAGATAGCCAATCTCGACTCTTATGTAAACGTTTTAACAGCAAAGAAGAGTGTTCTACCTAATATCCAATATTTTTTCATATCTTTGATCTGAAGCTTGCCCAAGCAGCTGTTCTCCTAATTCTGTTCCATGCCCACCCGCCTGCTCGATACACTGCTGTAAGCGAGACTTGGACGAATACGTAGACGACGAGGGAAAATGAGTTTGCCTTTGTCCTAGAAAATGGAACTTCCATAATGTAGATGACAAATGTACATTTTGTCCTGCACTTGGTGATTAGACGACTTAGACCTTGGTCGGGATAGAATGAAAGAAAACAGCACAGAAACCATAATGAACAGCTAGACAACGGCCTTGATTACATTATCCGGCTGTTTCAGCTTGATATGCCTCCTTGTAGATACTCACAAGCTTGGCTTCCAGCAAGCTCTTGACTAAGGGGCGAGGGAAAAGAACTGGAGAGCTCAGTTGAGGTCCTGCTAGCGAGCAGCCTTCGCACAAAGAGAAAGCCTCAGCCAAACTGTCTAGCCGACATCCTAGGGAGCTTAAGGCTACGAAAACGTCACTTAAAAAGTGAAGTCGCGCTGCTTCAAACTTTATCGCTTTTATTCCATCTCGTTCAATTCTAAATAAGTCTGCCGAAGTTCAGGAAAAGAAAAAGAAAGTCGTTTGTCTTTACTGTGTCTTGTGTTCGCGTTCTCCACAAAACGTGAAATTAGGTATTTTCACGTCGTAGTCGTGCAGTGATGCCAAAGAAATATAGTTACAGTTGTTATTTTGCCAGTATAAACGTATTGCTGTTTTGCCGTTCTTGTTGACGTCGTCGTCGTCGTTTCGTAAGCTCCCTTCTACCAAAATAAAGGGGCTGTATTATGGAAGTGGCCCATTTTGTTTAGCGTTTCCTATGGCTTACATTTAAGTCTCTATAAAAAAAGTTTATGACCGTTTAACACAACACTGGCACCGTTTGGCTGGGGCTTATATTAACTGTATTCGCTGTTCTTGGCAGCACTAATTTGCAATCAGTATGTATTTCTCTAAATAAAATAGATATGGTTTTACTCAAACTAAAAAAGATGCCATCTTAAGTTTTGGGAAGAGCACTCTGGTTTGATTCATTTGCTGATCACGCACTTGACGCGCGGTCATCGCTTGACTTCTTTATAGTGGGTACCATTTAACGAGGAAACTTGGATAGATCTCCATGCCACTTTTCCGCTTTTCATTCACAAAAGAAAATTCTCCCCACGTAAAATTGGTTATACTAGAATATACGTGTGGAAAACGCATATCGAAAGTCCCGAATTGAAGCTCTGAAATTTATATTCTGGGGCTTATGTTCAGAGGGGCTTTATATAAGCAACTCATCTCAGGAAGAACTGATTTACGTTTCGAAAACCCATTGGTTTTTGAGCGTGATCAAGCGATCTCACTTAAATCTACCATTATTATTATTATTATTATTATCTCTTTTATCACAGTCTTTGCTGGTGTTCTTTTTGTGCATCAGCCGGGCGCAAACCATGCACCTAGAGCGTCAGTCACTCAAGTCAATCATTCTGTTCATACACTGAGCACCTTTCTGAGGATTCGCGCAGATCCCAGCATGCAGATCTTTTGAATCTCTGTCATAGTAGCTCTCTCTGATACTTTCTTGATGTTTTCTACCATACCCTTCTTCACTGTACCAGGCGCACCAACAACCACAGGGATCACTACGGCTTTCATATGCCACATTCCCTGTATTTCTAGTTCTAGGTCTTTGTAGTTGCTTTTTTTCAGTTTCCTTCAGTGCGATGTTTCTATCTGATGGAACAGTCATATCAATCCGTTTGCAGGTGGAATTCACTGAATCTTTAACGATGATGTCTGGTCTGTTCTCTGTTATAGTTCTATCAGTATTGACCGGCATGTCCCACATGATAGTGATGTTGTTATCGTTATTGTGCATCGCGGTCTCTGGCTCGTGTTCGTACCATTTGTCTGTAATCTCTATATCATGATCTTTACAGATGCTCCAATGGAGATATGCTGCAGCATTATTGTGCCTGGAGATGTACTCTGTTTTGGCTAATACCTCATATCCAGATAAAATATGGTCCACTGTCTCTTCATGTTGCGAACACATTCTGCATTTGCTCTCCACTTGCTGGCCACATATTACTTTCTGGTAGTTTCTGGTGTTTATTGCCTGGTCTTGAGCTGCTACAAGTAGACCCTCCGTTTCTCCTTTCAGATTACTTGACAACCATTTGTTGGTGGTGACTGTGTCTACATGACTTATTATTATTATTATTATTATTATTATTGTTATAAGTGTTCAGTTTGAAGACCGTATTTCTTCTCCAAGGGCCCAGTCCAAACCTTGAACCTGGGGCACTTGAGGGTTTCTTTGTCATTATTGTCACTTGATGAATAGGACCTTCCGTAGAATATGTGCCGTTCCCGGTAATGTTGTCTTTTGAATTTCCCAGATGTCAACGTTCGCTGTAATTTCTCTAAAACAAGCTTCTCTGAGCCTTTCTTAATCCCTAACGCACCTACAACCACTGGAATTATTTCGGTCTTCATCTGCCAGGTTCTCAGCTAATTTCGATTTCCAGATCTTTATACTTGGAAAGTTTTTTGGAAATCGTTTTGGAGGTATTTTTATCAGAGGGTATAGCCACATCAATGAGTGCGCATTTCTTATCCCTATTGTTCTTGATGACAATGTCAGGACCGGGTTTGCAGAAATTTCTCTGTCCGTATGAATAGGCATGTCATAGAGAATGGTGATATCATTCATTTTGTTATTATTATTACTATTATTATTATTATTATTATTATTGTTATTAATGGCGTGACCTTGTAAATTAGTGTTTTAGGACCTTTTTATATTTGTATGTCATCAGAATTTTAGTCTATGATAGTGGAATGTAAATTGGTCATATGTTAATAAAATTTTTTTAGTTATTAGTAATGGTAACAGGACTGAGTGGAGTCCAATTCGTGCCACGTTCACGATCCTTTTTGTCATTTCGGAATTCGCAAGGAAAACTCCGCGTTCACAATCCGTTACTGTGCCGAGATGGCTGCAACGCTCGTGAGAGCTCTTGTATTTTTTATCGTTTCTATCAATGTATTAGCCTTTAAGGATCGACACAATGCTCTTAACGGAAATCTTACATGTTACTCCAACTGCTGGACTGCAAAGCCTGCGATTTCACACAGTTTTGTGCTCAACCATCGACTTAAAAGGTGTGTGGTTCGCTGGGATTCTAGAGGCTTGGTTTATTTAGCGGCACCTGAAGATTCTGTGCTGCTTAGTACGCTGCTAACTATGCCTGACATTCACCCTAATCCCGGACCCCAATATGGACAACAAGAGAACCGGCTTGTGGATGGAGTTGACTTAACCACCGCTCATAGGGACAGCAGTAACGGCAGTAACGGCGGAGCAGATACGATCTTGTTCCGGAGTCGAAACGATTTATTGTCTCTACGAAGGTTCGCATTGAAACCTCAAGCTCCCGTGCTGAATACTCTGAAACAGCTGGGAATTCTAAGGTACAGGGGGCGAAGTAGGGTTAAAAACAGAGCAGCAGACGCTTTTTTGAATCCTAACGAGAGAGCAAGGGATGGTCAAGCCATAGAGGTTGTGAAATCTCGTCGCCCGGTGAAGTCCTGTCCCG